CATAACAAGAACAAACATTCAAACAGTGATATAGAAAGGACTTCAAGAATATAGGAACGCATAAGGTGGAGATGATGAATTTTGAGAATATTGTTATTTGTAGGATTTGGGGAATGAATGAGGTAGATGGTCCTTAGAAACCTTTGTGGATAATGGATAAGGTGCGAAGTGAGAGAAAACGAATGAGGGGATGGGAAACAGTTGGGGCTAAACATTTGAGAAAAAAATCGGCGGGATTTACGGGGGAAATGGGCTATGGAAATGCATAAGGTGGCGAAAGAACAGAGAACTAAATGAGGGACACAAGACAGGCAAGTGGGTAGCGATATAACCATGAAGCCTTAGCCTTACAAGCCTTTCTTTCCATATTTCCCCCCCCCCCCCCACCTGCCCCTCCTCCTCCTCCTCCGCCTCCGCCTCTGCCTCCGCCTCCTGCTCCTAGTAGTGCAGCATGGTGGCCGGAGAAGCCGTGGACATCTTGGGCGTATGCTCTGCATTTTCGCACGCATGTCCTCTTCGAAGGTGCAGTTGCCCAGCCGGAAGATGGAGATCCAGAGGCTCTGAGGGTTAATACTGCATGTTGAAGCCATGACGGCACTCAGCAGTGGCCTTCTGCAGTGACCTGTGAACACAGCATGCGATGCAGGAAGGTCGTGGTACTAAGCGAAAGCAGGAAGAGAACGTTGTCGCTGAGTCCGGCGCTTCAACATGTTCCTGAGACAGTGTGCCAGCGTACAGCCGTCGCCTCTCTGAGGTCTCCGGCTGTTGTCTTCGAAGAGCCCTTGGACTGGCAAGTGCGACTCCGCAAGCTGAACGTTGGGAGCCACTGGCGCGCTTAGTCGCTGGGCATGGATCAAGCCCAGCCGCCAGAGTTGAAAGGCATGCGTGAGTTGTGCCCGGGCAAAAGTCTTTACAGATTTGCACGTCGAAGATGGCTTTGCCTCTGTCGCTCTGCGCTACGGCGAGCTTACCCTGCAGCCGGATCCTGCCAGGGTGGATCCCATCAGCTTAGACATGATTATCAAGTGGGTGACTGAAGCTGCGGAGGATTTCGGCTTGGTCATCGCGCCTCGGGGGTGCTCTTGTCAAGCCTCGTCTGTATCTCGCCAGGACAGCCAGGCCCAGTTCTCTGCAGACACCGGGCAGCAACAGGTACCGGATAAACAGCGGTCGGTGCAAGCATGCTCGCCCAAGGAGATCATCAAGAGCGGAATTGCAGAATTTCTTCGCCGGGTTTCGAAAGAGGCCATCCCAGAGGCACGCCGGTGTGATTGCATGCAGGGAGAGGAGAGTAAGGGAGCTGAGTAGGGGAGCGGAAGCCGACATCTGAACTTGTGGCGTGCATGGGTCTCCCTGCCTCCCTCTGTGTGTGTGTGTGTGTCGCTGTGTGTATGTCTACAGAGCAAGGACAGCAAAACCAAGTGCCTGTGGAAAGACAGCTATCATCTTGTCTGACCGAGCCGAGGTCTTGGTTCGCGAGCGGCAAGCCTTCACAAACAAGCTGAAGGCCGGGGAGTGAAGCGGCCCTTTGATGCGTTGATGCCCGTTGCTCTGCAGTACGTCAAACAGCCTTAGGCTTTTCGGCTTCTCGTGAGGTTGTAGCTTCTGAGCTTCGAAGCATCCTGAGAGCTCCGAAGCGCCGAGGAAGCTGGATTTGCGGAGATGGCCAAGGCAATCTGGTTCTGTCATCCGAGTTCCTTTCTGAAAGACGCTGAAGACTGTGGGGTGCGTTAGCTGTTACTTGTAGCAGAACCTGTGCGCTTGCCGGAAACTTTCAGATGTCATATCTAACCTTCTTCTGCTGTGGGTTCTCGGTGCCAGCTGCGCAGGCTCTGGATCTGGCCATACGATCCATGCAGTTTTCAGAGAGACTGCAGAAGGGCTCGCCGCAGATGTGCCCGAGGCTCAGGATCTGCGAGTCGAATGCTGCTGTGTGTGCCTTCTTCCGCTACTGCATCACCAAGGCCTCAACATGCAGACCAAAGAGTCGATGACTGCCTACATGAACATGGTGATTAGGCCACGTGGGGAGGTTCCTTCTATTCTGTGAAGACCTGTTGCTGCCGGCGAGGGGCTGCGATCGCCAGGGCTGGCCCATGCGCCGAGATCCCAGGCCGCAAACAAAGCTTATGGTTGTTCTGCAAGCGCTTGTCCAGGTCGAGTCTTCCTTGGTCACCTGAGCCGCGTTGCTTTAAAGTCCGCGGAAGGAAGCACCTCATGCAAGCGTTGTCCCGCCGCATCTGAGCAATGCATGCTGTGACATGAGTGCCCTTCAGGAGAGGCCGATGGCATAGCACCCTCCGAAGCCCTGATTGAGTTTGGCAAAGCTGGTGGCTGGAAGTACGTGATGTCCTGGCTGGATGAAGAGCCGCAGCCGACTACTTGGCCACCGTACTCTGTGCTAGATGAGCTGGGAAGCAACATACCCAGTCAAGCTCCCTTGAAGCTCTTCGCGCTGCTCCACAGAGCGCTCACACATCCGGGATTCGCTGCCTCAATGGCTCCCTCACTGACAGGTCTTCCAGCACCCTGCTTGTCTCGCTTGGAGAGACAGTTGACAAGAGCCGCCGCACCTGCCCTCGATCTCAACTTGGACGAGCCACGTGATGAGAAGCTCCAGCGAAAACTGCAAGACATCGCAAGTCTTGGTGGTCAGGTTGGAAATCTCTTCGACTTCCTGGAAAAGCTTCTGACGTTTGCATCAAAGGTTAGGCATCCGAAGTTGGAGGACGGCACTCCCGGGACGACAGCATGGCTGGACCTGCAATCCGAGAGCAGGGATCTGGTGTCTGTTTACAAAGGTCTTGCAGACACTCCGGCCATTGGCTGGACTTCTGTTCTCAAACTGGTCGCAGGCTTGACCCAGGACTTGGACGAGATCATTAGGGAGAACATAAAGGGAGCACAGCAGCGCGAGGCAAATGCAAAGGAGGAGGAGAGAGCGCGGCTTCTTGATGAGGCCAAAGCACGCGTAGAGGCAAACACTGGCACGGTCCTTTCACTGCTTGCGAACGGAAAGCTTCGCGAGAGGAGTTCCTCGGGTTTACAGGATTGCTTAGGGAAGATGAAGCGCCTGGGTGGTTCCATGCAGCATCTTGAACAGCTTGACAAATCTGCAAAAACTGCGCAGTCCGTGGACACCTGGGAAGCGGGCCGTGCGGCTGTGAAGGGCTTCTGCCAGCTGAAGGTCCGCTGCTCCAAGGCATTGCATTGGCTTCAAAAGAGGCAACTGGGCCACTGTGCCAAGCTTCTTGATTCTGCCGGCCTCCTGGAGAGTCTCGAACTTGTGAAAGATGCCCAAAAGCTGAAGAGTCTGGGTGCAGCTCTCAGACTTCGACACGAAGAAACCCGAGTTGCGACTTGTTGCAAGTGTCTCTTGAAGAATCTCTCACTGAAGGCCTTCCCTTCCGGTGTCAAGAACTTCTCATATCGTGCGCCGAGAATGATGGGCTGGCTCCCGGCCACCTGGAGCCGAAGCTGGAAGAGGCGGAGGAACTCGGCTCATCCTTGCCACTGTCTCGGAGTCTGCCAGGTGCCCGATGTCTGGGAGCACGAGCCTCGTAATTCCTGGAGTCTTCTGCGGACAGACACCAAGACATCAACGACATAGGTGGGAGTGTCCGTGTGGAGGCAGAGGACGTCTCGGAACTTGAACCTGCAGTACTTCCAAAAAGTCCCATGCTCGGCACAATTGAGAATCGATGTTCAAGCGACTACTCGCGACTTTGTAAGGTTGGTTCGTCGGCCATGTCCTGGGCAAGGGCCCTGGTGCTACAGCTGCCCCGTCTGCGGCTGTGGAAATCTGTGGCCGGCAGGAATGGCCTCTGCCCGCAGGCCTGGTTGCATGGAGGCCGCAGCTGCATCTTCTGACTTTCTCTTCAGCGCCAACAAGCGGCTCGGAGGACGGATGGCAGCGCCGGGGAGCTGCTGCAGCAGCAGGAAGAGGTCAGATGCCATCCTCAAAAGCTTGATGCTGTCTGTGATGCTTCTTACCAGATATCAGGACCAGCTCTTGGCCAGTGCACGACGAATCTCTGGGCCCCGTGGCCAGAGCGACTGGGATTCGTGTGTTGCTCGATTTTCTTGGCGTGCAGGGCGCCCAAGCCAGGGTGCCCAGCCTTCGTTGCCGAAGGCAGGGGCATGCAAAGATCTGCTTTGCCAATCGCGCCTGTTCAATCTGAGAATTTGTCTCGTGCAGAGTCGCCGGTGGCCTCGGTTCCTCCTGCCCTTGCTCTGTGCAGGATCCTGTTTGCTCTGCCAGCAAGATGCGACGGACTCACATTGGGCATCACCAGAACATAGCCTGGCGCTTGGAGCCACAGCCTTCAGTGCCTGCCCTTTGTCTATGTAGGGGAGCTTCACGCAAAGTCGCTAGGTAAGCGTAGAGCAACTCGGTCTGTTGCAAGCCAAGGAAAGCACGCAGCTTACTGGAAACAGCTAGCCGATCGGTTGGCGATGATCTGTGTCGACTTGCAGCGCCTCCCCGAGGAGGCGGGTTCTCTTCTGATCAGGAGACCTGCGGTTCAGGCTTGGCATAGAGGCGTGTCCGGAGCATGCTTGGAGCGAGTCCCATTCCATTGCTACAAACCTCCGACTTTCGTTCGCATGGGTTCATATATAGGGAAGTTAAGTAGCGACGGAACGCTGATGGAGGAAGCCCGTTGCCCACCAAAAGCAGACAAAAGTCCGTCCCTGAAGCCCATCACCGAAAGAGGCTTCATTATCACGTCTGAGAACGACTATGGCTGTAGATACCTGTCATCCGCATGCTCGCGTTTGCACGTTAGACGAGCAGCAGTGCAAGACCTGTTGGTGAGCCCACAGGCATCCCAATCTGGTCTGGCAGCTGCTTGGCGTGGTGAGCTTTGGCAGGTGCAGCGATGGAGTGTGCTTGCGAGAGAGCGACTGCATAGTAGGGTGTGCCTTGTTTGTCAGGGTTGGGAGGGGATCGGGTTCCACGGGTTTCCGGCTTGGGCTGGGTTTGGCAGTGCACCCGACTCTCACATGTACACGCAGCATTGTACAGCTCATCGGTTCCCACGCAGTCCATGTGCAGGCCTGATGTAAGTTAGGGTCGTGTGTGGGGCCACAGTTGCACAGACATGCTTGTTCCGATATTTTGTTCTCTCACCGGCCCGGCCGGCCTGCTGCGTAAGAACGTGTGAGAGTCCGGGTCAGAAACAGTCAGCATGTAAAACGGGGCAGGCCGATGAAGGGTCGATGTTCACATTGGACGTGCGTTGCTGCTCTCATCTACGTCCTCCGTGAACGCCTTCCGCTTGACTGCGCATTGCTTAGTCCTCCGGCTGCCCTTGTGCGTCCACGAAGGTCAGTAGGTGTGGTTTTGGTTGGGCTCCGCGAGGCAAAGTTTGGTGCCCGACCTTGAGTATCCCCTTTCGCTCCCTCTCCCTCAGATGGCACGTCTTACACCCGCTCCGTCGGCTAGCTGGAAAGAGTTACACCAGCTAGGTGTTTGTGCCCGACTCTGTTCAATCCTCCTGGATTGTACTCCAGCCTCGACCCAGTCTCTCTTGCTCGTATCCAGTGATTCGGTCCAATTGGGTAGGGTGTGTTACGAAAGCTGCAGGCACTCTCTTCTGACCAGGATGCCGTGGTCCGAGATTTCACACGCAGTTTCAATGAGATAGGCAGACCGACGGAGAGAGAGAGAGAGAGAGAGAGAGATGTGGGGGGCCAATAGGCCGGGGGGCCTGA